TTTATAAAAACTCACTCGTCAGTATTTATGTCGACAACGAACGATAGATGCATTCGCACTAGGGTGAAGAATTGATCTAAATTTTCTATTCTTAGTTTTTCTATCCATTTAACATCTGGGGTGGTCATCTTGCGATCGACACAAAATACTTATTTTAAAGAAATATCCTATTCTCTATAGATGACAGAATGCATTTTTATTAAGCACTGATTACTCAGTCATACTATGTAAGTACATAGTAACATCTTATAGTCATTAGATGAAGAAATAATTAGATTTTAAATAAACAGAAAAACTATCACACTCGCATTGTTTTCAAACGTCAATTGACACAACGGCCAAATGACCAGTGTTGCCAACATTTTTTACTCAATCCAAAGAGTACAAAACTAATGAGTTTTATCTTAGTCCTGGACAGTTATACTTTTGCCAAAGTCAAGTAATAATAATTATTACTTAAAACAACTTAAACAAATCGCAAAGGATAGTAATTATTTAAAAAGTTCTTCGCATTATGTTGATGCGTCACTTTGCGAAGTTGTGGGAAATTTCGCCACAGGCAACTTGAACCAGACAGTCGAACACTGACAACGATGACGCCAATACTCTTTTATTCTATAGTAGTTAATCGAAAATCTTTGATTATACCTACTGACAACATACTGCAGTAGCCACCACAGAGCCTACTCCGTTGCCAAAGTTATGAGGTTGGCAATAATTTTTGTTATGTAGAAGTTCTATAATAGAACCGAGTTGCCGTGCGACCCACTATTCCGTAGAATCCACTTTTTGATCCTACTCACAGAGTAACCATAGATTAATGTATATATACTATAATTAATGTATATATAGAGAGTATGTCCGGTCACATATATACGGAATTCTGTGAATGCATCACACACATACGTTTATTTCTGTTCGGAATAACAAGCGTTAGCCAATTAGTCTAGACATTCTACCAACGAATAATGACGACGATTTTCTGATTGTGATTCCATTGTTGCTGTATCATTCTTACTAGGTGAATCCCCTTATCACCGTAAGCTTGCAATATTGTCAATATTATGTAAGAAGATCTGTCTATCCAGAGATATTTTTTAAACATGGATGTCTTTAACCTCTTTCGATAAATAAAATAAAATAAAATTAGATTAAAAGGTACGAAAAGCTATAAACATAAGATTAAATGTAAAAACATACATAAACACACCTACTCGCTTCGATCGTGCGACGATTCCCTATATAACATTGTAGTCTTTGACGAACACTGAGCGCGTTCCGTACGTAATTTACGAATGTGTATTGCGACTTATACAAAATCTATGGAACACTTGCGTTCCGAGCGGCTTTTTCCTTCGGGATCCCGAACACACAGGCGGTCATACGGAATCTCGAATCGGAGAAAATTCCGTACGCAAAATTACCGTACGTGTGTGGCGGGTCATAGATTTTATATAGACTTGCTGCATTCGGAATTCCGAATCGGAATATCGAAACGGAATTCCGTATCTATATGGCCGGCCTTACACTCCAAACGACAATCGATAAAAGTGCTGAATTGCAGTGTATTTTGGTTTAAAATAAGATCAGAAATGTCTGGTTTACAAAAAGGAAACACTAGTTTCCAGCTCAAAATATGTTTTCATCAAAATATTATCAAAGAATATACATATATTATATTTAAACAAAAATACGGAAAAATATTAGTAATCAAAGTAATGTATTGCCACTAAATCGTACAAGATTTTTTGAAACTGAAATAATAACTAGATCATTTATACTTAATTAAAAAATCCACATCACAGTCTTGTTTATACCTATTCATGAGGATTTTTAGTTCATAACTACATTTTAAAGCCCGCCACAAACATACGGGATTCCGTTTACGAATTCCGAATGGGTCGGCCACACAAAAAAATGCCTGCAAAATTTCGAACGGAAAACTACCGTACGTGTGTAACGGGTCATATATTTTATATGAACTTGCTGCGTTCGGAATCTCGAATCGGAATATCGAAACGGAATTCCGTATGTATGTGGCCGGCCTTAATTACTTTGTGGTTAGAGATCGTTGAGGGTAGTCTTTTTTTTGAACTTTTATTATAACATTCAAGAGAAATACATGTATTAATACATTTGTTTAAAATTCGTGCTTGAGATCTACTCAAACACGAATTTTTGACCTAATTATTTTTATTTGTATATTTATTTATTTAACGGTAAATAGAATTTGATATGACATTATGCAACTGAACATGTATAGAATTTTTAGAACTCTTTTTTTTAAGTTGTATGTATTTATCCATTTATTCAATACAGGCTATCTACTGCTGAACATGGGTCTGCTTAAAGGGATAACAAGAATTACACTTACAGTATGTTTAAATAATGGGGGATATTTGCCATAGTTCTCACACTTGGCAGGCGTGTTGACAATTGCAGTTTTATTCTAATTGTTATTTGGAAGACAATGCTGCCCATCTCCTGGTTTGTTTATCTCTGTTGGTTCTTACGATATCCACGGGGCGATTCATTAATTACAGCGTATCAAAAATCCAATATTGAACAATGAAACATGTTGCTGCCCATATTCTGCTTCATTTCCCTTTTTAGCCTCTTACAATATCCGAAGGATGATATACACTCTACTGCAAGTTCTTCTTATTTTAGTAAACAATTCATTGTTTTAATAAATAAATAAAATTAAAATAATTTTATTAACTAGGTGTTAGCACTAGGTGGGTGGACTCCTTTCACTAGGTGATAGCACTCCTTTTCTGCCTTGTAGTCAGTCAATTAACCGGTCCAGTGCGGGTGACACGCCAGGCGTGCCATCTATTACTTTTGTGTGTGGCGTATGACACGCGAGTCGTGTCATTTTAAAAATCGTTATAACTCGCTCAAATTGCTTTATTGGAAAATTTATCCAGAACAAAATATTCATTATTTTGCGAGTAGTTCATGCATGCAGCTTCGTTTCTGGATATTTTAAAAATTTGAAATTTATAGGGGTTGACAACCTATTCTTAACGTGTACATGGTACTATTTTTACTTTGTGGGTTTTAAACCATGTTATGGAAAAATTGTCTAATAAGTAACAAATAATAGCACTCATTGCGATCGCTCACAAACTCAAGTTGTAAATAAATTTCTGGAAAACAAGCCTCCTGTTAAAAAAAAAACAATGCGTTTGTCTTATTGTTTAATTTTGCTTAAAATGGTTGAACTGCCGTCTTATTACTATCATATGGCCGAATAGACTACGAAGTACCATGTGCTCTTGTGATATGGTATAAGGTTTATTTTTGCTTGAAACAGTTCGAAACCGTTCATGCATAAAAAAAGTTCGCTAATAAAGTCTTGTCAATCCGCCGCCGTATAACGCCGGCGTTTTTTTCCTTTTGAAAATACTTGTTTTGCTATTCTTACTAATTAGACGTTTTCAGATCGACTTTACTTTTACATTTGTATAACATTAAATAATATTTAACATTTGTAAATATCAATGAATCATATACCTTACTTTTTTTTTCAAATTAAGGTTCTTCATTGTTTGATATTTACAAATGTTATTATTAGGTGAAAATTTAATTTAATAAAAACCAAGGTTTCCAGGGTGATTTAGCTGTACCTACTTATATAAATGATTTTTTATAATAACAAATAATAGTACAAAAGGTTCGTAATCTCTTCATAAAAAAAGTCACTTTTTCTCAATTTCAAAGAAAACGCGTAAAAAAACACGTAGTTACCCACTAAAAACAAGTATCCTTCCATTTGTAACTTATGATTGATGTCAAATAAACTTAATTAGGTCTAAACAAGTAAAAAAAGCGTAAAAAAAGCGTAAAAAAGCATAAAAAAGAACATTACTTTGTCTGTGGCGTTTGACACGCCCGGCGTGTCATGAAATATTTGTTCGCCGCCACAGCTAAAAGTTGTCGAAAATTGGTGCCGCAACGAATCGGTTAAGTACCACCCTCATAAATCTTTTTTTGCCATTAGACAGTAGTGTGTACACTGTATCATTCTCATCTGAAGGGTTTAGATGAGCCAGTAATTTTACAGATATTCATAGTAGATTAAGCGCCCTAAATGTCCGGAATTAAAAATAAGCTAATATGAAAATAAAATAATGATTTATATATTTTTGAAATTAAATCAAAGCTTTCAATACAAAATATATTTTTTCTGTGTTAACAAGTTGTTAACGAGTATGATTATCTAGGACAAAATGCCCAAACAGGTAAAACCAACCTAAATCGTACATTCAATTGATGAAGAAAACTAAGATGCACAATGTTCAGGAGATACTGGCTATAGCAAAGTATAGGGCTCGAGATCTAGACCTTTCACTACAACTATACAGTGAATACTTTCCTTTTTTTTTAAAAAACTACCTCCACACTAGGACTTTCTCCTGTATTGTAGAGGCAGTTTACATACATAAATTCCACAAGGACAAACATCCAGACCCGGTACAATTATTTCTAGGCCATATAAGTAATTGTTTTGTTCCATATTGGATTTGAACCCACGGCCCTTAGTGCTGCAATTCATTGCTAAGCCACTGCACCATGGAACCATCGATAATACTAGGCTTTTAATTAAATCTTTTGATTATTTTTCTTTCAACACAAGATATCCTTTCTGTTCATGGGGAAATGCTTAATTAACACCCACTTTCCGAGGTATGGACAGGTAATAAAGCACTAAATCTTTATTTACTATAATAAAAAGTATAAATACGTACATACATGTGCTAAGTCGATGAATTAACATAATTTCCTGGATTTATTTGCAAGGTTCTTGATCAATACTAGTAAAATAAAAGAAATTTATTATTTTGCTTATATTATTGATTCTTAGATTTACACCAATTAAAGGTAACAATAACTTTTATGCAATAGAAATAATTAATTTTTTAAACATTCTGCAGGCTGTTTTGAACTTATTTTTCTCATTTTTAATCACCAAATAATAAGAAAAATCTAAGTACTTAAAACATGTCATCATGACCTAAATCCGCTAACAGATTGAGGCCTCTTTCTTTCAAAGCCTTTGAAAGTAATTTTTGCTGTTCAATTTTTGCATCCTGTTCCCTTCTTTGAGCATCTAGAATATCATCAACTGATACTTCAGTTAAAGGTAAATTGTCTTCTTTGTCCTTATCCTGAAATTCATAAAAAAATTATAAGTTTATTTCAATTATTATGAATATTTTTTTTGAACAACAGTGCACTTGTAATGGGAGTGTCAATAATTATAATATTATAACAATATGGTTAGTGAATATGTAAACACAAAGGCAATAATGGCTCTTTATTGTACACTAAGAAAAGATAAATATAACAAAAAATAAACAAATAATCAGAGAAAAACAAAAGGTTGTCTTATTGCTACATAGCAATATCTTCCAGCCAACCCAGAAGAAATAAATAAAAACAAGAAAAAGATTAACAGGTAGGTGCACTAAAATAAGAAAAGATACCAACTTATGTACTAAAAAGACAGCATTCTTTGGGTGGATCAATGACTATAAATAGCACACCTTCATAGAGTAATAAATTACCCTCTTCAGCTTCCCCTTCCTCACAGAGATGTATAGTTCTTAAGTTATGATTGTTTGTAAAACAATCTAACACCTTTGTAGAGAGTGGAGGAGGGGCCCACTCATTGTGTAGTATGTCCTCTACTAGGTAATTGGCAACCTGGAGTCATGCAGAAAGTTGTCGTATACAGGTGGCTTATGACTGTGCTATGTGGCATTGCTTTAGGGGGCTTATGTCTAGCAGTAAACTTGTGAAGCTCTAATGATTATGATGATATAACTAATAGAATCAGGTATTAATTTGCAGAAATCTATTATATTGAGTTTGTTAAAAAAAAATTTGATAAGATCCACATAATAAAATAAAATTATGTGTTTTACTTAGTTTGAAAAGCCTCCCTCAATTAGGTTTCACTATCCCCATCACTACTAATCCCAGCAGCACTACTCTCTACACCATTACAGTAGGAAAGACACACCACCATCTTCCTATCTTTTAAGGCAACCTTAAGATTATGATGATGATGATAGCTTGTCATATATAAAATAATGAAGTTATTTGTGCAAAATTTACAATTACATATTTGCAATAGATTATAAAAGGTGCATGCAAACAAAATTGGATGGAATAGAAATTATAGTACTCCTTAACAATAAAACTTACAATTTCGCCTAAAAGAACAACGTTTTCGCCCCTAACAATAAAAATTCCCCTTGGTATATCGCCATACTCTCTTCCAACATGAATTCTTTCAATAGTCTTATGTAGGACTAGATTGGCAAATTGATCCACGCAGCGTAAATATCCGATCAGTGTTCTTCCATCTCGGAGCAGTACCATGAGCTTCTCTTTATGAAAAGAACCACTATCATAAGACATGTAACAGATACATTAAAAATAAAAATACTTCAAGAGGATATTTTATGCACGTACTGTCTAGCTCATCTAGTAAATGTGCTGTTCCTGCTAAGGGATTAATATTGTTAGACATGTTTATTTAAAACTTTTAAGTCTATTGAATTAATTATTACAGAATTTATATGTCACCAGAGCGGCGGATTTTATAAACTTCTTCGTTCATATAGATATAGCGTAGTTTATTTTTGATGTTATAAAAGTGAAATGTCAATGTCAAAGAGATTGTTGTTGTCAAGATTCGTTAAATAAGGTAGGCATAAACTTTAGACCATAAAGCCTAAACTGCTATTTTTACAAAACTATAATATACTAGTGCATTACATTATAAAATTCTTATAGCTTAAGAGCCAGTGAGCAGCAGACTTACGGTATTTCAATAAGCTTCAATTTTTTTTCAGTTAATCTCCTATACCTGAGGTACATGAAAGGGGGACTCTTTAGTTTGACCGGCGGTCGATATAGAGACGCTCAGGTGTTAAAGGTGTAAAAAATGAAAAAAAAAACGTGATAGCAATAAGTCTGCCGCTTTGATATCTTAAAATATTTAATAAAAGTTACCGAAAAATAACATTGGCAGACACCTATGACGGTTTCAAGGTAATGGCAGACAGGTTGAAAAGTACAATTTTTTATTAAGAATTTACGTTATTTCAATAAAGTTGCAATTTATATATATTGTTGATAATATTATTTGACATGTATAATTTTCACGGCAGACATATATTGTGGTTGTATCACCCAGGCAGACAACAAACTTCTGGGGCGTCCATAAGCGCGTAGGTACTATAATAGCGCTCGCTCTGATACAGTCGTAAGATCAATTTTAAAAAAAATATTATATTAATTGAAAGTAAATACGATAGTTTCATATTGATTGCAATTAATAATAATTACGGTTTATAAAATAAATAAAAGTCGAATAAGCACACAATAGTTAATATTTATTTGTTTATGTTTTAATGTTATGATGTCATAATAATATTAATTTATTCATGATAATGTTTATTACGCATTTTATTAAAAACTCAATAATCTTAAGAATATTCAAATCATATTATTCTTGGCTATCCGAGTTGTAGCCTTCAGATTCATCGTCAGACAGATGCATCAATTCCATCGAAATCTACATTCTCATCATCAGACGGAATTATTTCTACTAAAACGTTGTTCAATAATCGACAGTTAATCGATATGGTTGTGGGCTCACCATCTGTATCTTTTACAATGTATTCTGATATTCTTAATGTAAAGAAGAGGACGCGTTGTTGGCCAGTACTCTCTTACTCTTATCATTATTACGGAGACGCTAACGCAGAAGACTCTGTATGCCACCGTTTATTAAGGCCAGAGATCGCTTATTTTATCTATACGACATTTTGGATAGCGCTCAGGGGAGCAGGCGTCGACTAATTCATTCCACCATCAATTGATTGGTGTGGAACACTCTCGGAGTCACCCATTCCAAAAATATTAATATTTATCAGCGTTTCATGTGTTCTTATAGGCGAAAAGCCTTGTGGCCACACCAGAATAAACTAAAATAATATTAAAATGCACTCGAGCTGTCGCTGTCACTACCCTATATAGTATAGAAAAAAAAGCGCGGGAACCTTGAAACGTGATAGGCGCTTTTTTTTTAACAAAAATTTTAATTTTGTTTTATTTAGTTAAAAGGCGCTAAACTTTTATTGTTTATTATTACTGGGTTTCCCCATCATGGGGAAACGTAGAAAAAAGAAGTTGCCGGGAGAAGAAGAAGTGTTTGAAGAAACGACTGAGGAGGAAGAAATTGATACCAGTACTGAAGAAGATCCTGAGAAAGAGTGGCGCAAGTATAAGTCGTACTTTGTATCTGACTACAACAGGAGGTACCCTGAGGACTATTCTCGTTGATTTTGTTGTATTTGTCGAATCAAATGATGAAAGAAGGCCAATCGGCACGCGGGACATGATGTCTCTGTCCACAGATATGAAGAGATACAATAAAGGCATTAAATATTTGCAATCTATGAATAAATACAAAATAGGCGTTCATTTTGAAAAGCCCTCTCTAGCGAATGCATTTTTAAATAATATTTTCTTAATGAATACAAAATGAAGGCATCTATCCCAGCTGTAGGAACAGAAATTACAGGAGTCATAACCAATGTTCCCACTAATCATTCTAATTCAAGAATTTTTGGTATGTTAACGACTTACAGAAAGATAATATGTGTTAAAAGGATAATGAGGAAACATAAGAATGATGCAGGACGCAGTTTGCTGCAGCCGACGGGCACCGTGGCCATCACATTCGCTTCTAATGTTTTGCCGGACCATGTCGATCTTCATGGTTGGCGGTTTGTGGTAAATCAGTATATTCCACCAGTGAAGCAGTGCTACAATTGTTTGAGGTATGGTCACTTAGCAAAGTATTGTAAAAATGCTGTGAAATGCTCAATTTGTACTGAAAATCATAGCTACAAAAATTGCCAAGTCTCTTCAGATAAAGCGATATGCATACATTGCAAAGGAAACCATCTAAGCATTTCTGGACAGTGTCCTGTTAAGAAACAAAAGATAAAAGAAAATCAGGCTAAATTACACAAAACCCCATTTGTAGACCTTTTTAATAAAAAATAATTCCCCGAATTAACAAAAAAAAAAATCCCAAAGATGCTCTTATGTCACTGCTAAAGAATGATGACATTATTAATATAATTTTAAATACAGTCATTAAAGTACTAACTCTCAATAAATCAAAGGAACAAACCACCATATTATCTTCTCAGCTTATTAAAGATGTACTCATAGATACAATGAAACCAAAATAGATATTTCATTATTTAACATTTAATATTTTATGGATCAGTTTAACATTTTACAATGGAATGCACAGAGTTTAATTAAAAATCGCTTTCAATTTAGACAATTTTTATATGAAAACACCATAGATGTTGCTCTCATATGTGAAACTTGGCCTAAACCTAGGCACAATTTTAGAGTAAAAGGTTATAATATTATACGATTAGATTCAGGTAATGATCATAATGGAGTAGCAATACTTCTACATAACAAAATTGGATTTCGTATTATCAATACATTCTCTGATGACTCATTACAAAATATAGAGATACAAATACAATACAATGATAAATTATTAACTTTAGTTAGTGTTTACTGTCCCCCTAATTCACCAATTAATTATAATAAATCAAAATTAGATAATTTAATCCAAAGTTTGCCACAGCCAGTCTTTATAGCTGGTGATTTCAACGCCCATAACACATTATGGGGATGTACTGAATTAGATTCACGAGGTAGGGACGTTCTTGCAAGTATAGATGACAACAATCTTGTGACTTGAATGATGGTCAGATGACTACAGTAGGATCTCATAGATGGAGGCAGAATGCATTAGACTTGACACTTGTTTCATCTTCACTGGCTCTGTCTTGTGAGTGGCAAGTATGTGATGATGTTTCTCTAGGCAGCTATCATTTTCCTGTAAAGACAAAAATTACGGTTAATAGTCAAAATTTTCAAGAAACAGCTGTATCAAATAACATAAACTTAAAATTGGTAGATTGGTCAAAATATACAAATTTAATAGATAATTTAATTAAAAATTATAGTTTTTATTATAGTAATCCTTTACAATGTTATACAGACTTAATAGAAATTGTTAAACAAGCCATGCATGAATCCACACCATCCAATCAGTCTTCTAATCGAAATGTTAACGTCAACTTGCAGTCTTTTAAAAGAATTAAAAAAAAATTCTCTACCTTGGTGGAATTTAAAATGCAAAAAGGCAGTATTAAATTGTAAAAATGCATATTTAGTATTTAAGAATGATCCCACAGAATGAAATTATATTAATTTTAAAAGACTACAAGCTGTTAAAAAAATTACTTTGAAGACTGAAAGAAATCTTAGCTGGAAAAAACTATGTGAAACTTTTAATAGATCTACTCCATTGACTAGAGTATGGAACTACATTAAAAAGTTTGACAAAACTTTTGTTCATAATAACACATCTGTCATAGATTCTAATTGGGCTAATGAATTTTTGAAAAAATATACTCCAAAAACAGATGAATCACCTCTAACCCCTAACTCCTCAAATGATAATCATTGTGATTATCTTACCAAACCTTTTACCTTGACCGAATTCAACTCAGCTGTTAACTCTAGAAAAGACACTACTTGTGGTTTAGATTCTGTTCCATATAAAGCTTTAAAAAATATGAATACTATGTGTAGAGAACTAGTTTTGAAAATATATAATATGTTATGGTTTCATTCACTTATTCCTAACGATTGGAAAGAAGATTGTTTGATACCCATTTTAAAGCCTGGAAAAAACCTCACATTGCAGAATCTTACAGACCTATAGCACTTACATCTTGTATGGGTAAAATATTTGAGCAACTTATAAAATCTAGATTAGAATTTTTACCATCAAATCAGTTTGGATTCAGATGCCGTAAGTCATCTAGAGAAAGTATTGCATTTCTACATTTAGACATTTTTAAAGCTATGGAAAATAATGAAATACAATTAGTATATTCTTTGACATTGTTGGTGCATTTAATAACGTCAATCTTCATGTACTCGCCGCAGAGTTGAGGTCTTTGGCCATTCCAGAAAAAATTATAAAATGGATATTTAACTATTTACATGAAAGAAGAGTTTTTGCGAAAATTAATAATAATAATACAATTATTGGTCCTAGGCTCAGTTATAAAGGTGTTTGTCAAGGAGGAATATTAAGTCCTCTTATCTTTATTTTATACATATTTAAATTAAACAATATTTTAGGATCAAATGTTATTATGTTACTAATTTACAATATGCAGATGATTTGGTCATATACGCCTCAGGAGCAAATGTCAAAAACTTGGTAATCATTTTAAATGAGGCTTTTAAATGAGAAATTGCACATTTACTTTTCATACTTAAATTTAGATATTAGTACTGAGAAAATTAAAGTTGTAATATGATCTATGTACTAAGTTATTATTTAATTCCCAGAGTGGAAGGCGCAGGCAGCCGTGGCACAGTTTATACTAGTACGGCTGCCGACGTTAACCTCTCAATGTAATTGATGGTAGTTTTTATTTAAATAGTGTAAGTCACGATGTAAAATTTGTGGAGTGAATAAACAAAAAAAAATATAAATATATATTTAATAAAATTCGTCCATTTAATACTAGAATAATTTATAATAATACATTTTTACCAATAGAAAGTTGTGCAAAATTCTTAGGTGTAATTTTTACAAATAATTTATCTTGGACCAAATACGTGAATTCTATAACAGACAGAGCTTCTATGGCCTTTAATGTATTAAAAGCTTTGGCTAGTACTAACTGGGGAGCTGATCCAGAAATATTATTAATGTTATATAAGTCTTTGGTATGGAGCCATTTTGAGTATGGCTTCCTTTGTTTTGCATCAAATAAAAAACTAGTAAACAAATTAGATAATATACAAAATAAGAATTTAAGACTTATTACCGGCTCTATGAAAACAACTCCTATTGTTTCTTTACAGGCTGAATGTCTTACTCCTCCTATCTTACTTAGGTTTAAATATCTGAAATTTAGCATAAACATACATAAACACTCACGCCTGTCACCCAGAGGGGTAGGCAGAGATTATGGACTTCCATTTGGCACGATCCTGACACACCTCTCTCGCTTCCACACATACGCACGCTCGTCGGTTAAAGGTACTCTTGATTTGGCCCATTTTTAATATATCGCCAATTTGGTTGATAAACTTTCGCCTAGGGTGACCCTTCCCGACTATGCCGTTCACCTCTGCAATATAAATTTGCTTTGTCACTCTGAATTTTAGGTTTTTATTAAATATCAATTCTTTGTCACATCATCCTCTTTTTCAAAAAGTATTATTTTACTATAATAGTATGTCTCCTATATCTAACTCAGCCCCATATATACTCCATGACTTTCATGAAGTGATACGTTATGATGAACAATATTATATTCACAAAAGCACACATACTTGGCCTTGTTATAAGGGGAATTATGAAAGTAAATACAGTGATATACACATAAATATTGATAAAAAATTGAAAAGAAAAGAAGAGGTTTATGAACTTATATCTACATATGATGAATATCGACAAATTTACACAGATGGTTCAAAAGTTGAAAATAAAGTAGCTTGTGCATTTTACATACCTCGTCTGAAAACTGGACGTGGCCTTTCCATTCCTGCATTAGCAAGCATATACACTGCAGAATGTTATGCTGTCTTAATGGCTCTTAAATATATAGAAGAACACCCACATGTATCTAATAAATGGTTACTGATCTCTGATGGCATGAGTGTCTTGAAGGCACTGAAGGCAAGAGCTTTAGATGCTAAAACGTCTTTCATCATATATGAAATCAAAAGTTTGTGGTGGAAATTGAAAGAAAATAACTTGGAAGTAAAATTTTTATGGACTCCGTCACATATTGGGGTTCAAGGAAATGAAAGAGCGGACCATTTAGCTAAAAGTATAGTTACAGCTGATATTGACAGGATAATCGATGTTGCAATACCACATACAGATTTATATTCAATTTTAAAAAAACAGTAAAAAGAAGAATGGAAAATGCAATGGAATGCTGTTTTAGAGGCAGGAAAAGGTCGTTGGTATGCATCAATTAATTCAGAATTAAGTATTCCTTGGTTTTCTTGCAACGAGAGATATCATAGCAGAAAATTTTATACAATAATGTGCAGACTTAGATTTGGCCACTTTCGACTGAACGCTCATCTTTCCAGGATGAGAATAGTAGCATCTGCAACATGCAATTTCTGCGATACAGAAGCAGATCAGACTGCAGAACATATAATATTTAACTGTCCAGCATACGCCATTGAAAGATTGCTACTCATTGAAAAACTTATACAAGTTTATGAAAACGCAGAAAGCGTCCCGCGTGCCCTGCAAGATGTTCTTAGGAATACTAAGACATATTTAGCACTTTGCAATTTTATACATAATACTGTAAAAGATATATGAAATATGGTGTCCCTGTTTTTGAAAATATTGGATTGACAAATCTACATGGATTGAAACCTACAAAGAATATAATATAAAGAAGACTTGGCTTTAGCTTTTACGGGTTTTTGAAAATATGAAGAATTAAAGAAAATAAGACTTCACTTCGGCCTTTATGGATTTTGAAGAGATGGAAAGAAGAAAAATAAGACCTGGTTCCTGCCTTTACACTTTAAAATTCTATATATTCAAAATAAAAAAGACAAGGCTGTATGGCTTAGTTCCTTTGCCTGCTCTCTCGAGCAAATAATAAAAATAACAATAACAACCTATATAGTATATTATCTATGGCTGTCACCCCGAAAATTTAATTTCGTATATAAATCATACAATGAATTTCTTTGTAAATTATCTACAGAACTTTAAAGTTTTTTGAGTTGTTGCTATGCTTAATATATATAATAGTTTTATAGTTCGTAATATTTAAATAAAGAGTCAAAATTCATAATGGAACAGGACGACGAGATAAAATCCGGTTGTTTATTATTTCCACCAGCCGGAGGGAATATGTTCAGTAAATTTCCAAAAAAGGTATATTTATTTAATTATGAATTTTTTCATGAATAAAAGTATCTAAGATCATTAAAATTATATGGATATGACCCAATTAAGATTAAATTGTAATTTATGTGTTGTAACTCACGCAACAATCATATACATGCAAAACACGCTTTCTAAATATGAGTCAGGGAAGGGTAGATAATACTGAACTTGTTTTGTTGCGTGAAGTTATAAAGTACAGTGTAACTGGTAGTTTTCCTTTATGAATGTTTGAAAACAATATTATTATATTAATTTATAAATTTTTAAAATAAAGTGAGTATTTATAACTGTCTTCTCTTTTATTTAAAGAATAGATAGACGTGTTTTAAAAAAATATTTTAGATGAATGTATAAAATGATTAATTAATATAAGATGGCAAAAGACAAAAATATTTTCATATATTCTTAAAAATCACTAATTGTTATTTACTCCTTTCAGACTTATATGTTATATATAACTTGTGTAATAGATAAAGCCTATAAATATAATTTATTTTCAGAAAAACTGGCAACAAAAGTACTGTATACTCTTCGATGCTAGTAAGCAAGGCATAGAGAGGTTGGAAATATATGATAATAAGGATGATGTTACAACGGGATCAATTCCTAAGATTATAACTCTTGAAAATTGTATCAAAATAACACATTCTAGTCCAAATACTATTACTATTTTAACTAAGTCAATAACACAGCAAGTTAGCACTCAATCTGAAACAGAAACCTTAGAATGGGTGACTGCACTTCAGTCAGTTGCATTTAAAAGTACAGATTCCATTCCGATTAGCTGTGATGAAGATAATGATTTATATTGTTCATCTGGAGAAGGAGTTTTCTCAGTAAAAATGTGCTCTTCCGAAGCATCAACACGCTGTGGATTGGAGCCTATTAGGTATCTCTTGCTACTCACATCAACCTCCATTGATTTAAGGGATTTGAATGACAATAAATTGTATGCCACCTGGCCATACAGGTATATCAGACGGTATGGTTATAGACAAGGAAAGTTTACTTTTGAGGCAGGAAGAAAATGTGACACTGGTGAAGGTATATTTCATTTAGAACATCCAAATCAATCAGAAATATTTAAATGCTTATCACTTAAGATGAAAACAATGAAACAATCTATTGGTAATGATAATATGCATAGTCCTGAACACTCAGAATTCAACATACAGCCAAATGCAAATCTGTTTCCCGGGTCCAGGAGTCCATTAGTCGCAGCAAGGCCTGACGATTTGAATCTCAGTTCTTTATCATTTAAAACTACTTCTGTTTCGAGTCATCAAACTTTGGCCTCTGAGAGAGACACTGCTCCTTTACTCATGCCAAAACCAGCCTTAAAACCTAAGCCACAAAAGCCTCCTCGCAAAGTCATTAATATTCCCAAACCAATGAACAAAGATCCCCAATCATCAACAGATGAGAGTATGGACTTTGGAAGATACAAAAAACTTGAAAACTATGAGCCAATTGATCAAAGTAAAAGTCAAAGTACCCCATCAGTGCCATACGATAAAATAGAAGTGAGGAGTGAAGCATGGAAAACTTTAGGGATAGATGATCCTGATCATACAGAATTTACTCCAAATTTGGCTGATAGTCCTAATTGTATGAAACTTATATCAAGATCACAAGATAATTTAAACAGTACAGGACCAGAATCTTCAAGAATTATTCTTTTACCTCTCAGTCCTGAAGATGAAAACTATGACAGGTTGCAGTACTTTGGTTCTACAAGCAAATTAAATAAGTCCTCTAGATATAAAAAAGTAGAGGCACGACCTACTACATTGGCTCTTAGTGAGGCAAAAAATAAAGACACTTGGAATGATTATGATGAAGTTGAAAATGTTATGCAGACAGCGAGATTGGCAGATGATTCTCATTTAGGATATGGTATGATACGAAAACCAAACACTCCTGGACCTCAAGTACCAACTGCGGCGCAAGCTCAAGCATTACAAAATCAGGTTGGTTTGGAGGAAATCAACCACAATAATTGTAATGGAACAGATTATGCAATTGTAAGCCGTCCAAAAAGAGTATAAAACATTAAATAATTATGTAACAAGATTTTAAGGTAAAGACTGAAATTATACAGCAAATTAAAATTAACATAAGTAGAGGGTGGTATATTAGTATTTTGTGAATATTGGCTTTTACTTATGAACTTTTAAAGTATTATATATAAAATAGTTATAAGAGCAGCAAGAATTCTAATGATTTACTTGCAGTGTCTTCTTTTATAAAATAAGGGTGATAAATGAGCACAGTCTATCTGATGTCAATCTAATTAATTTATTATTTGCTGTGGCCCATAGACACATCTATCCTCAATAATGATTCAAATATAGATGTGTAATCAACCCTGGGAACTGAGATAGAATGCCCTGTTACCTATTATTAAGCTACTATTTTATGCAGGTATCTTGTGTGTGTGGTCATTACTCTGTTGACCCAACCCACTTGTGCTACTACCATAATATAGCTGCAGTGTGGCTTTGACTATCTTATGAATGTAGTAGTTATAGTGTTATAGAGTTGCCACACAGTTTACTCACTGCCATTGGAAATAATTTAATACTGCATAAAAAACATGAGTTTTCTTAGATTAACATTTCAACTTTGTTAGTGCTTTTTTAACCTAGACGAGGATAGATGGATAGTTTTTATAAAGTTCTGATTATTATTGAGATGTTGAACTTATTATTTGAACTTGATGTATTTGAGGTATCCATTCTTCTTTTACTCGTATATAAATAAATACATGTGCCATTTTAGAGGTACATAATAACGGTGCTTTATATAAAATTCTGAATATATTAAATATAGAAATCCAAGTTGATATATTTGTCAATAAATTGTTTATAAAATTATTTTAGATACAATTCTAATAACTATATCACTAAACACACTTCATAGTTATAAATAATTTTACATTTTAATAATTCCATTATTTTATTTTAAAAAGTATTATTTATGTATAAAATTCAAATCTTCAAAACTATTAATTTTTAAACTTTTCCCTACTGTGCAGTTATTCTAAATGTAGGTCCTCTTTAATTTTATATTTTTATGTGTGACATATTATAAAGTATGTGTTCAAAATGAAGACCTCTCCTGCATTCCATTTTATATAATAGGATGTTAACAAGTTTTGAAAAAAGAAACTAATAATAATAGATGGGATGTAACAATAACATGAGACAAATCCCTCATAGGTCAATTATTGAAGTACACTGTTATGACACGGAATTGTTATGAAGTTTCATTCTTATTGTTGATGCCAGTGTCAACATATGTTCCGAGTTTCAGGATTGTTGTATATCCACACCATTATAAAAGGTCAATGAAGCATGGAAATTTATAAAGAGATTTTAAAAAGATATTATCTGATGTGATATACAGTGCCTTATTTTCAATGTTTATATTCTACATGTTTTAAGGAAAAAATGTTATGTGAGAATTCAAAATCTGATGTCATGTCATTGAAGTTACCAACATTATTATTTAATAGTATTACAAAGCAACTATATATAAAAATATAAGGCATCAATTCGCACATGATTTTTTATCTTTTTTATATTTTTAATAATATAAATTTTACCATTTGGTGCCAATTTGAATAGTACAATAATTTAAGATCAGTCTATGTATTATGTAGTACATTAATTTTTATTTCATAGTTACTACACATTAGATTTATAAATTCTGTATATCAGAGGTACTGATTTTTGTGTTGTGTTAAATACATGTTGTTTTTTTCTTTTGCAATATATGGCTCTTGGTGTTGTGGTTGGGTCACAATAATTCTGCCAATGTCAGGTAAATACATGGTCCTTCGAGCCTCCAATAGATGGCAGGATATCATTTTTAATTTGAAAGCTGTTTTAAAGGTGCAAGAAATCTGGTACTTTTATTGCTGGTATACCTGCCAAGCATGGCAATTAGGATTTGCCATCCTCCCTGCAATAGGTGAGGTCCAAGAGCCAAACTGATTTGTGTACTGAAACATATTATGATATAATAAATGTGAAAATAATAGTTATTTTTATCATGTAGACCTTACAATCTGTGTAATAATGTCATTTTTGTAACTTTGCAACAACTGCATTGTTGCAAAACTAACTTTTATATATTTGTATATTAGTTCAGCCATATTGTGAAATATATTTTCAAGGCATATAACCAAAACATGTTTTATTGAAGGAAAACTATATTTTTAATTCAAGTGTATATATAATTTATTTTATTGTATGTATTATGTTTAAACAAGCTCACAAAGATATGACACTTGAAATGTATTCTGACCAATCCGTTCATCCATTACAGCTTATAAAAGTCCACTGCTGAACATACTACTCCCCAATTCCAACTCCTCCATAGATTTATAGGCAGACATTTGACATGCTTTTTTTATGGAAGGGTCATATGCGGTTCACCTGATGGTAAGTGACTACCGCATGTAAAGCCGCAGTATATTTTCGATACCACAATATTGCGGTATCGAAACTTATAATATCGCAAAATTAAGAAATCCTTTAATGGCGGTTGTAACTAAAACAATAACATGAGTAAAAAAATCTTTAAAGGGGGTTAAATTAAAATACTAACATGAGATCATCATTACAGCTTTTCATAAGTCCACTGTGGAACATAGGCCTCCCCAAGGAATGCCACAAAGCATGGTCCTGAGCCACCTACATCCATCGACTTCCTGCATGTCTTACCAGGTCGTCACTCCATCTCGTGGGGGGTCGCCCTACACTTCACCTACCGGTACGAGGCTGCCACTCAAGAACCTTTCTTCCCCATCGGTTGTCGGTTCTTCGAGCTATATGGCTGGCCCACTGCCACTTCAGCTTACTAATCCGATGGGTTACGTCGGTTACTCTGGTTCTACTGCGGATATACTCATTTCTAATTTTATCACGCAGAAAAACCCCTATCAACATCAATGGCGAGTACATCACTCACCTTCGATTTGCCGACGATATAGTCCTTATGGCAGAATCGCTGGAGGACCTAAGCACTATGCTCAATGACCTCAATAGTGTTTCCCAACGGATAGGTCTTAACATGAACATGGACAAAACAAAGATCATGTTTAATGTCCATGTCACACCTATGCCGATAGTTGTTGGGAGTACTAAGCTCGAAGTTGTTGACGAGTATGTTTACCTGGGACAAATAGTCCGACTGGGTAAGTCCAACTTCGACCGAGAGGTCAATCGACGGATTCAACTCGGCTGGGCAGCGTTCGGGAAGCTACGACACATCTTCTCGTCAGACATACCTCAAAACCTTAAAACGAAATTGTACAACCAGTGCGTGTTGCCAGTGATGACTTACGGAACTGAGACGTGGTCCTTCACTGCTGGCCGTATGAGGAAGCTCAAGGTCGCTCAGCGAGCTATGGAGAGGGCTATGCTCGGAGTTTCTCTGCGTGATAAACTTAGGAATGAGGATATCCGCAGTAGAAGCAGAGTGACCGACATAGCCCAACGGATTAGTAAGCTGAAGTGGCAGTGGGCCGGCCATATAGCTCGAAGAACCGACAACCGATGGGGAAGAAAGGTTCTCGAGTGGCAGCCTCGTACCGGTAGGCGAAGTGTAGGGCGTCCCCCCACGAGATGGAGTGACGACCTGGTAAGACATGCAGGAAGTCGATGGATGCAGGTGGCTCAGGACCGTGTTTTGTGGCATTCTTTGGGGGAGGCCTATGTTCAGCAGTGGACTTGTGAAGGGCTGTAATGATGATGATGATGATGAGAAAAACCCCTCTCCATAGCTCGCTGAGCGACCTTGAGCTTCCTCATACGGCCAGCAGTGAAGGACCACGTCTCAGATCCGTAAGTCATCATTGGCAACACGCACTGGTTGTACAATTTCGTTTTAAGGTTTTGAGGTATGTCTGACGAGAAGATGTGTCGTAGTTTCCCGAATGCTGCCCAGCCGAGTTGAATCCGTCGATTGACCTCTCAGTCGAAGTTGGACTTACCTAGTCGGACTATTTGTTCCAGGTAAACATACTCGTCAACAACTTCAAGCTTAGTGCTCCCAACAACTACCGGCATAGGTGTGACATGGACATTAAACATGATCTTTGTTTTGTCCATGTTCATCCTAAGACCTATTCGTTGGGAGACACTATTGAGGCCATTGAGCATGGTGCTTAGGTCCTCCAGCGATTCTGCCATAAGGACTATATCGTCGGCAAATCGAAGGTGAGTGATGTACTCGCCATTGATGTTGATACCGTATCCTTTCCAGTCCAGAAGCTTGAAAACGTCTTCCAATGCAGCGGTGAAGAGTTTCGGGGAGGTAACATCACTCTGTCTTACACCTCTCTGCAATTGGATAGGTTTCGTACTCTGGTTCTGTACTCGGATAGCCATCGTAGCTCTACTGTACAAACACTTCAGCACTTCGATATACCGACAGTCAACTTCGCACCGCTGAAGGGACTGCAGCACCGCCCAAATTTCGACGGAATCAAAGGCTTTCTCGTAGTCCACTACGCCAGACATAGTGGCAAATTGTACTCTTCGGACTTCTGTACAATTTGCCGAAGGGTATGTATGTGGTCTATGGTGCTCGCGATCACGGAGACATCACTGAACAGTTGTCGTCTGGTTGTCATAATGAAGTCAATCTCATTTTTTGTGGAACCGTCGGGGCTCGACCAGGTCCACTTTCTGTGGGGCCGCTTCTGGAAGAAAGAGTTCATCATAAAGAGTCCCTCTTTCTCCATGAAGTCGGCCAGCTGCTGCCCCCTTGGGTTCCGTTGCCCTATTCCGAATTTCCCTACTTTCAGCTCACCGTTCTCTCTTGTGCCTAGTTTTGCGTTGAAGTCTCCTATTAACACCATATAGTGGGTTTTGGAGGAATGCATGGCTCTAGAAATATCCTCATACATTTCCTCCACCTCCTCATCGGGGTGTGCCGAGGTTGGTGCGTAAACCTGTATGACCTTCAGCGAATACCGTTTGGTGATTCTGAGGATAAGGTACGCAACCCTCGTCGACACACTCTCAATCTGTACAACGTTGTTAACGGGAGACTTTGGACGATAAATCCGGCACCTCCTTGGGACAGATGGTCGCCCTCCCGATGATAGAGCAAGTTGCCGGATTCGAGGATTACCGTGTCCTCCCCCTCTCTTCGGACTTCGGATAATCCTATAATATGCCAGCGTAACTTGTCTATCTCTTCTTCCAGCTCTACGATCTTCTCGTTAGTCCTTAGGGTGCGTGCGTTGTATGCTGCCAGGTCGAGTCGTCTTAGGTGGCAACCGAACCTCCACCGGAGATTCTTAGCAGCCCCTGCCCCGCCGTTACGATGGTCGCCACCGTAGCCAGGAATAGCAGGGCCGCCGGGGACTGGGGGCCGTTTCTTTGTTACTCTCGTCATAGGGGGGTATTTGCGTCATAGGGCGTCATATTTGCCATAGTTGCCACGCTTGGCGAGCGGGTTGGCAACCGCAGTTTTTTATTTTAAGTTTGTTGTTATCAGGAAGATGCTGCTGCCCATCTCTTGCCTGTTTCCCTTTGTCGCCTTTTACGACACCCACGGGAAGATATGTATATTTGTCTCCTTTGATGAGCCTTGAAAAACCGACAGACCATCGGTAAGCCTTATTTGTTATTGGCTATATTTGTCAAATAGGCAAATACGGCAATAGGTATGGCAAATATGCTCTCCACATATGGAAATTATTTGTCAAATACCCCAAATACAAATAGCCATGTGAAGTGCCACCATTACATATGTATCCAGCAGCCGAAAATGCTCTCAGCTTCTACACAGGTTGGTGGAATGCTTAGCAGATAGTTATACACAGTCCCCAGATATTTACCCATTGTTCCTCCGGTTTCATACCGGGTTCGTTTTTAATACCGCAAAATTCGCATCTATAATCTCGCTTTTGCGGTAGGTACTGAAATACATCGCGAAATTGCGCTAACGATATAACGGTATTGCATGTCCTAGCCGCCCATGAACTACACCACCACTCCTAATACCAGGGCAATTGCAGGTGCGTTGCCGGCCTTTTTGGAAGGAGTAAGCTCTTTCCTTGAAGGTCCCAGTCGTATCGGTTCGGAAAAATCGTCGGTGGTAAACAATTCCACAGAGAAGTTTTACGAAGAAGAAAACTAGTAAAACGCACATAGGACTGCCAAACATCTAGATGATGAGGATGGTATAGTGAATTTTGACGCGATGTGCGTTCGTGAAAGCGGCTGGCATTAAGAGGAAATGCGGTCCCAGAGACTTTTGAAAATTAGGTATTTGAAGAAACTATCGCTGTCGCTCTGCGAACATTCGGCGTCCGATAAGGACAACTGCAGATCCAACTGAATAGCCTAAGTAAAAAGGAATAATTGGAGGTTTAGCTCTCTACCATTTCCTCCTCCAATATTGAACCAATTTATAATATATTTCACAAACTGAATAAGAAGGATATACACTGTGTCCCTATGTTTATTTTATATGTGTATGTTTGCTTTTTTCAGTTTTAATGATCAAATTTGAACACTAGGCCTCTGTTCGCAGCCGTCTAAATAGGCAATTTCGAGCATTTTATAAGGGTTCTAATTCTTATAAAGATAGTGTCATCGGAAAACATAGGGACATACTTATTTTACTGTAAAAACTCATTACTATAAGGTCATAAATCAGAAACAAAAAGACGAGCGTTTGTATGGAGAAAAGACCACCCGCATTTCCTCATAATGTTGCTAAAATAATTCCTCAAAGCACTCCCCGGAGTAGATGCGATAGAAAATGCAAAGGGATGCAACATCCCTAGGTAGCGTCAGTGAATCGAGCTGATCAGAAAGAACTCGGTCGTTGACGATTCGAACCACTGTGCTGGATGCGGTCAAGTGGACTCAGTTTTTTTTTATAATTTTGAGTTTTTATCAGAAATACTTATTTCAGTATCCCTCTTTCGTCGCTTACAACACCTACTAGGCTATATGGGGTTGTGGATATTCTTAGACTGCCACTACACAGATAAGTGACTAATATCGTGTTAGAAAATAAGGTCCCAGAAAATATACAACATCCAACAAAAAAAAACAAGTTCCAACTTTTTACTAAATAAAAATTGTATAAAAATATGTGGAATGAGGTGATTGTTAAGTTGTCCAAGCTGTTTTATTCGTAATTCTACAACCCGTGGTTTTCTCGCTGGTCCTTCCATGGACAGTGGTTTTTTCGTAACCAATGGTAAAAGTAAAAAAAAAACCTTTAATAAGTATTACTTGTAATTCATTAATAAGACTAGAATAGAATAAAAAAAATATTCTATTGTAGTGTAATCAGGGCTATGTACAGACTGCTGAGCTATAGGAAGTAGATTTTGTAAAAAAAAAAATCACTCCTGTGGCATAATGTGGGTCTTGGCATCTGACATGACAACAAGCTACTTCCCCTTGTCCTGTACAACTCGCCAGTTGTCACCAACTTGAAGCACACACATGTAAGCTTCTGCCCAGTCGCTCCAGCAATATTAGGTTCCATTGTTTTAAATTATTATTAAATTCGTTTTCAAATCTCCATGTATAATTAAATATAACTTTTTTGACAGTGCTCATGACAATTTTTAAAATATTTTTGTGTATATTTCATATTTATGGCTGTAGCAATATGAGATACATATGTAAATATAAGCTGCTAATTAAATACAGGCCTTGGTATGGACAATAGAAAGAAAAATCTTAACGTTATGTAAACCAATGTTCAATAACATTTTAACAATTGTACAATGATATAACTGTACTACATTTTGATACAAATATGGGTACAAACACAAGAATTTATACCTGCCTAAAACGTATTAAGCACCAAACTAGAAATAAATTGTACCTAGCTCAGTGTCTAAGCTCTTCCTGTAAATTTCACACTTTCACAGTATACAAGCAACCCCAGTTCAATCCCCAATGATGAGAATAATGATTTTGTTAATTGCAGTATTAAGTGCTGATTTACTTCATGCTAGCTGGTGAAGGCAAATATTGTGTGGATACTGGTTTGAGCAAAAAAAGTATTTTGAGGACATTAGGAATCTCCAATGCATATTAAAACACTGTGGTAGATTAATTGCTCCACTCACACTTCAATTGCAAGCTTACGCCCAGCAGTGGTGTATATAGGCCATAATTTTAATTTGTAAGTACTGTAGGCTTGTTTCCAAAATAAAAACAATTATTTAAATGGACTTAGTTTTTTTCCTAACATATCTTTATTTTTTCAACAATAATGTCAATAACTTAAACCAACATTGAAATTAAATATGTAACACTAATAGGTTTCAACTTTCCAATTTAAGTTTTTCCGTCCTTTCCACAATTATTTCCCTAGCAATAAATTCTAAGTCATTAGACAATATTTTTTGAACTGTTTCTCCTTTTTCGGCCATAATATCTTCAATATTTTTCTTTCCATTCATGTCTGAGAACCAGTTTAGATTATCTGCAATAAGATGTTTGTTTTTACACCCATCACAAATAACTATCACTACACCTTTGTAATACGCCAATTTTGTGATGAACTTAGTATTCCTGACGTTACATTTCTTGCATGTAAACATTAATTGAAATTTACCCTCAAACTTTATTTCTTTGTTTTCAGAAAAATCATTCAGTTTCGTGATAGTCGTGCTAAAACTTCTTGGTGATTGTACCTTAGGAGTTGATGTAGATAATGGCACTGGTATAAAAAGGCGTCTTCCAAAATAAGAGTTTCCATTGCTAGGGAAAAATACTAAACTATTTAACAATCTTGGTTTGTGATATTTAACTACAAAGTCGATGAGAGATTTATGGGACATTTTGAATCACTCAATTTATTTTCATTAAAATTAAGAAACTACATTAACGATACCCGATCGTCAGCTGTGTTTTGCGACAAATATTATTACTTTAAATGTTAATAAATGTAAATTATTTCATCATCTTTTGATAATATTCCTTTTCCACACAAACTAGAAAGTAGAAACCACAAACCACAAACTTCTTCTTCTTAATAACTGGCTTTACGGCTCTGGGTTCTAGCCCTTCTGAGCCTGAGTTACATACCCTAAGTTACAATGTATAATAATTATCCTTCATAGTACACTGCTTCACAATATTATGTTGATGCGTCACATTGTCCAGCCCTTGGGAGATTTTGACGGACACTTGAGCCAGCAGACAGCTGACAGTTAGCGATGGTATCTCAAGGCGCCTATGCAAACAGACACCTTATCTTGAGAATCACATAACCATCAGAACACTTGTTTCACCATTTCCACTAATAGTTCACATGCGTAGACAGTTAATACACAAATCGCACCACTTTTACATATCAAAATCCACTTCAAACCATTATTTAAACAATAATACAGGAGCAGCAATCCGTCGCCGGTCAAGTTCCCGCCAAAACTCAAAACCATAAACCACAAATTAACTAGCTAGTTCCCATAGACTCAGAATATACTGACGTAAGTTCCCGATGTATTACTTTTCTCTATGCTAGCTAGTATCCTAGTATATCGTAGATAGAGGATTGACTAGATAAAGCATTCGCGTATGCATTTGAGATAGAAATAGGCGGGAGGTACTTTCACTGGGTTACCAGATATTGTTCCATTTCCCCCGTTATGGGTTTATTTATATTCACGGCACTTACATTCATACAAAAAACTTAATTGTTACCATAAAAAAAAAAAGTTCTTTTATAATTCAGATGATTAATTAATTTCTCTTGAAAATACATTCTGTGACTAAAAACTACGGGCGGAAACGGCGTAAAAACAGAATCATCACTCTTTGGATTTCGACGGCACTAAGTGAAGGCGCTAATAGTACAAGTGTGATATCGCTAATAAATAACAATATGTTATGTATGTACTTAAGTATTAATTGAGAATAAAAATATTAAATAATAAACAAAAATTTCCTTGTGTCGAGTTTGTTGTTTTTACAAAAAAAAAACAATAATGTTTTAACATACCATTCCATCACAAGTTCAGTGCTGAACACAACACAGACCTTCGAAAGGAAAGGGTTTCCACTTAGGTTTTGTAGTACAAAACACGGTTATGAGCCTACTCCCGCGATTTCCTGCATGTTTTGCTAAGTTAGTGTCTTGTGTGCGGCAAGTTGTGGCGTACAAGAGAATTTGTCTGTACACGAGATGATATTATCCCGCGTCGTAAGCAATAATACAAGATGGGGATGGGGCAGCAGCACTTTCCCGATGAAAACTTAAAATAATAAATAACTGCGTTGGCTAACCAGCATAACACATATATTCACGCAGGCGTGGCAACTATGGCAAAAGTCATCCTATGAGGATATCTATGGAAGGCCTTTTTTAGGTGACTTACTTATGGTTAGGTGGCTACTGTTTACCTTGGTTAGCTATCTACTTATAACTGATTGTAGGGAATTGAGACCGGCCGTTAATCATGTTACCTAATGGTTAAGGTGGTAAAATGTTTAGTTAATATAAGTTGTAAAGCATTAACAAAGGGTTTGTTTTTGTAATATGTTGGTATATAAAATAAAAACGAATGTTTTATAATATTCTATTTTAATTTACAATGCAGTGTAAGATTATCTGCTATCTCATATCATTCCATGGGTGGTGTATGAGGCGACATAGGGAAACATCAAAGAAGATAAACAGCAGTATTGTCCTGATAACAGCTAAATAAAAAAAACAGTGGTTGACAACTCGCTTTCCAGGCATTGAAACTATGCCAAATAACTATAATCATGTTAATGTTCAACAGTGGGACTTTTGAGAGACTGTAAAGATATATATTCTATTTAAATGAAAATATATTGAAATTTAAAAAAAGGAAAAAGAACTAAATTTTGTGTACTTACACAACATTTAGAAATAATAACAATGTTACATTAAGTAAAAGAAATGAAAACACAATTATATATAAATATAATTAAATAAAATCAAAATAAACAAACGATTACTTATTAATTTTTGATCACATTAATAAACAAAAAATTTTTGTCTTCTTTCCTTGTAATTCTTGGTTTGAGTAGCTTTAGAATTTCTCAAAAATGTGCATTTGTTAACTTGATTTATACTTTTGCATGGCAGAAATTCTTGGGTGCTGGTCGTTAGAATTGGATGAGAAGGGAGTATATATATATATATATATATATTTATTATTTGCCTTGTATATAATATATTGTAATGGTATAAATAATAAGGTACAACTCCTAAACTATACTTAGATAGATAATACTTATCTCTAGTCAAAAACATCTTAAGTACATTATTTATGACAATTTAATAGAAATTTTTGCCGTGTAGTGGCGGTCAAGAATATCCACTACCCCATATCCTCCCGTGGGTGTCGTAAAAGGCGACAAAGGGAAACAGGCAGGAGATGGGCAGCAGCATCTTCCTGATAATAGCCAAAATTACAATAAAAAACTGCGGTTGCCAACCCGCTCGCCAAGCGTGGCAACTATGGCAAATACCCCCCTATGAATGTAACAAAGAGACGGCCCCCAGTCCCCGGCGGCCCCGCTATTCCTGGCTACGGTGGCGACCATGGTAACGGCGGGGCAGGGGGTGCTAAGAATCTCCGGTGGAGGTTCGGTTGCCACATTAGACGATTCGACCTGGCAACGTACAACGCACACACCCTGAGGACTGACGAGAAGATCGTGGAGCTGGAAGAAGAGATAGACAAGTTGCGCTGGCATATTATAGGATTATCCGAAGTCCGAAGAGAGGGGGAGGACACGATAATCCTCGAATCCGGCAACTTGCTCTATCACCGGGAGGGCGACCATCTGTCCCAAGGAGGTGTCGGATTTATCGTCCACAAGTCTCTCGTTAACAACGTTGTAAAGATCGGGAGTGTGTCGACGAGGGTTGCGTACCTTATACTCAGAATAACCAAACGGTATTCGCTGAAGGTCATACAAGTTTACGCACCAACCTCGGCACACCCCGATGAGGAGGTGGAGAAAATGTATGAGGATATCTCTAGAGCCATGCATTCCTCCAAACCCCAATATACGGTGTTAATGGGAGACTTCAATGCAAAACTAGGCACAAGAGAGAACGGTGAGCTGAAAGTAGGGAAATTTGGAATAGGGCAACGGAACCTAAGGGGCCAGCAGCTGGCCGACTTCATGGAGAAAGAGGGACTCTTTATGATGAACTCTTTCTTCCAGAAGCGGCCCCACAGGAAGTGGACCTGGTCGAGCCCCGACGGTTCCACAAAAAATGAGATTGACTTCATTATGACAACCAGACGACAACTGTTCAGTGATGTCTCCGTGATCGCGAGCACCATAGACCACATACATACCCTTCGGCAAATTGTACAGAAGTCCGAAGAGTACAACTTGCCACTATGTCTGGCGTATGTGGACTATGAGAAAGCCTTTGATTCCGTCGAAATTTGGGCGGTGCTGCAGTCCCTTCAGCGGTGCCAAGTTGACTGTCGGTATATCGAAGTGTTGAAGTGCTTGTACAGTAGGGCTACGATGGCTATCCGAGTACAGAACCAGAGTACGAAACCTATCCAATTGCAGAGAGGTGTAAGACAGGGTGACGTCATATCCCCGAAACTCTTCACCGCTGCATTGGAAGACGTTTTCAAGCTTCTGGACTGGAAAGGATACGGTATCAACATCAATGGCGAGTACATCACTCACCTTCGATTTGCCGACGATATAGTCCTTATGGCAGAATCGCTGGAGGACCTAAGCACTATGCTCAATGACCTCGATAGTGTTTCCCAACGGATAGGTCTTAAGATGAACATGCACAAAACAAAAATCATGTTCAATGTCCATGTCACACCTATGCCGGTAGTTGTTGGGAGCACTAAGCTCGAAGTTGTTGACGAGTATGTTTACCTGGGACAAATAGTCCGACTAGGTAAGTCCAACTTCGACCGAGAGGTCAATCGACGGATTCAACTCGGCTGGGCAGCGTTCGGGAAGCTACGACACATCTTCTCGTCAGACATACCTCAAAACCTGAAAACGAAATTGTACAACCAGTGCGTGTTGCCAGTGATGACTTATGGAACTGAGACGTGGTCCTTCACTGCTGGCCGTATGAGGAAGCTCAAGGTCGCTCAGCGAGCTATGGAGAGGGCTATGCTCGGAGTTTCTCTGCGTGATAAACTTAGGAATGAGGATATCCGCAGTAGAACCAAAGTAACCGACATAGCCCAACGGATTAGTAAGCTGAAGTGGCAGTGGGCCGGCCATATAGCTCGAAGAACCGACAACCGATGGGGAAGAAAGGTTCTCGAGTGGCAGCCTCGTACCGGTAGGCGAAGTGTAGGGCGTCCCCCCACGAGATGGAGTGACGACCTGGTAAGACATGCAGGAAGTCGATGGATGCAGGTGGCTCAGGACCGTGCTTTGTGGCATTCTTTGGGGGAGGCCTATGTTCAGCAGTGGACTTGTGAAGGGCTGTAATGATGATGATGATGATAATAGAAATTATCATAATTATTACATTTATTTCTTAATTTATTTACACATTAATGTTTATAACACCTTTAAAAGGCATTAAGGGTGGACTAAATGTCCCATTGGTAGGCATTCCCAGTCAGTTTTACAATTATTATTGCATAATAAATTATTCCTTTGTATATTTAGGTCAGGGCTTTAAATTACTTATTTATTTCTTTTATTTAAATCTTTATTTGCATTAAACTTGGTAGTACAGATTAAGTTCCAACATTTGTAAATGAGGATTCATGTTTAATCAATACATCTATAAGTAAATATTTTGTCATTGTCATGCCACCCAATTATTACAAGTCATAATAATACAGAATGTCAG